TTATCAAATAAAAATACACAATAAAAATTATATATAAAAATTATTAATTATTATTTATATAAATTATTAAATTTTAATTTAAAAGTTATATCTAAAAAATCAAATTAAACTTATTAAAAAAATGAAAAAAACACATTAAATAATAAAAAAACTCTATAACAATAGGTATGAGCTTTTTTTATTTAATATTTAATATTTACCACTTTCTATAAAAAAAATTAATATTTTAACCCAAACCAAAGGCTGAAGTACTGAACTCTTTGATAGGTTTGAAATTAAGCTGAGAATGCACCAACCCAAGTAATTTGTCTTTAAATTTTAGTGTTTGAATTCGATTAATTGAGAGTTTTATCCCTATTAATTACTTAAAAATTATCTCTTTTTTTTCCAAATTCTCTAATTAAAAAAAGAATTCTTTTAATATGTGTCTTTAAAAAGTATAAGTTAATAATATCTTTTTTAGTATTAGTTGTTATTAAAAAAATAAAATTTAATATTTATTTAATCAATCATCCAATTAAAATAATACATATAGTATTAATGATAAAATTAATGTCAAATTTTTTATATTAACTAATATAAAAAATATTAATTATACTCTTAATCTTAGTAGATTAAATAAATCCTAAAAAAAAGGTGAGCATTGTTTGGTTACGCGCTGAAAGCTGCGAGTGAGTTTGGAGTCCAAATACAATTATCAGACAAAACAAGGTTGTAGCAATGGCAACCGTACAAATCATATCGCCGACTAGGAAAGAGGATAGGATAGGGAGTTAAAATTTAGACTTTGTTGGGCGGTCGGAGGCCAAAATGCATTCCCTCATTTCACCTCCCATCATCCTTCCCTGATGGACCATTGGAAGGAGGGACAGTGACTCCTGCCGAGTCCCACGACAACGACTGCCTCAAGTTGTCGACATGTGGACGCCGGTCTCAGATTTTTATCGCCGAAAAATTCACAAACTTGTGCAGTTTATGATGGGGCGAAGGGAGCTATCGCTGTCGCCGTTGGTAAAATGACTAAAAATGGGGAAATTTTTATTATAGTTTAATTATTAAAAATAGTTAACCATTGATAAGATTATTAATATTATTTAATAATTTAAAATTAATTTTTATATATTAATATTTTAAAACATTTTAAGTAATTATAAATTACTAAATTAAATTAAATTCAATAAATTTATAATATATTTTACTTGACGTTAAAAAAATTGGTGCAACTCTCATGGTTAAATTTTTATATGAATAAGTATTATTTTATAAATTAAATTTAAAATTTTAATTTTAAATATATTAAATTAATATAAGTAATGTGTTTTTAAAATTATTTAAAAAAATTAATTTTAAAATATTTTAATAATAAATAAAATAAATTTGGTGCGACAATGACCATGGCCTTCTAGTTC